GTATTTAAGGAGTTTCAGTGGCCTGAGACGAGTTTCACACATCTTCATTTGCTGGTAAACAAAAGGGAACCAAAAAAGACCAAAATTGGAACTTGGGTCCAAAGGTGCTTCAAAGTGCAAGAAGGGGAGAAGGTGGTGATAAAGTCTTCCTTTGAGGCCTAGGACTTATATTTAAGCAGTTTCAATGGCCTGAGACGAGTTTCGCCTGTCTTCCTTTGCCACTAAGCAAAAGGGAACCAAAGGAGACCAAAACTGGAACTTGGGTCCAAAGGTGCCAGAAAATGCCAGAAGGGGAGAAAGTGGTGAGAAAGACTTCCTTTCATTCTAGGAGTTGTATTCAAGGAGTTTCAGTGGCCTGAGACGAGTTTCGCCTGTCTTCCTTTGCCGGTAAGCAAAAGGGGGCTAGAAGAGACAAAAACTGGAACTTGGGTCCAAAGACGCCAGAAAGCTCCAGAAGGGTAGAAGGTGGTGAGAAAGCCTTCCTTTGAGTCCTAGGAGTGATATTCAAGGAGTTGCAGTGGTCTGAGACGAGTTTCGCACATCTTCATTTGCTGGTAAGCAAAAGAGAACCAAAAAAGACCACAATTGGAACTTGGGTCCAAAGGCGATCGAAAATTCCAGAAGGGGAGAAGGTGGTGAGAAAGCCTTCCTTTGAGTCCTAGGACTTATATTCAAGTAGTTTCAGTGGCCTGAGAAGAGTTTCGCCTGTCTTACTTTGCCGGTAAGCAAAAGGGGACCAAAAGAGACCAAAACTGGAACTTGGGTCCAAAGGCGCCAGAAAGTGCCAGAAGGGGAGAAGGTGGTGAGAAAGCCTTCCTTTCAATCCTAGGAGTGATATTCAAGGAGTTTAGTGGCCTAAGACAACTTTCGCACGTCTTCATTTGCCGGTAAGCAAAACGGGACCAAAAGAGACAAAACTGGAACTTGGGTCCAAAGGCGCTATAAAGTGCCAGAAGGTGAGAAGGTGGTGAGAAAGCCTTCCTGTGAGTCCTTAGAGTGATATTCAAGGTGTTTCAGTGGCCTGAGACAAGTTTCGCACGTCTTCCTTTGCCGGTGAACAAAAGTGGACCAAAAGAGACTAAAGCTGGAACTTGTGTCCAAAGGCGCCAGAAAGTGCCAGAAGGGGAAAAGGTGGTGAGAAAGCCTTCCTTGGAGTCCTCGGAGTCCTTGAAGTGATAATCAAGGAGTTTTAGTAGCCTGAGACGAGTTTCGCACGTCTCCTTTTGCCGGTAAGCAAAAGGGGACCAAAAGAGACCGAAACTGGAACTTCGATCTAAAGGCGCCAGGAAGTGCCAGAAGGGGAGAAGGTGGTGAGAAAGCCTTCCTTTGAGTCCTAGGAGTGATATTCAAGGAGTTTCAGTGGCCTGAGACGGTTTTGCACGTCTTCCTTTGCCGGTATGCAAAAGGGGATCAAAGAGACCAAAACTGGAACTTGGGTCTAAAGGCACCAGGAAGTGCCTGAAGGGGAGAAGGTGGTGAGAAAGCCTTCCTTTGAGTCCTAGGAGTGATATTCAAGGAGTTTGAATGGCCTGAGACGACTTTCTCACGTCTTCCTTTGCCGATAAGTATAAGAGATCAAAACTAGAACTTGGGTCCAAAGGTGGGAGCAAGTGCCAGAAGGGGAGAAGGTGGTGAGAAAGCCTTCCTTTGAGTCCTTGGAGTGATATTCATGGAGTTTCAGTGGCCTGAGACTAGTTTCGCCCATCTTACTTTGCCAATAAAAAAAGGGTACCAAAAGAGACCAAAACTAGAACTTGGGTCCAAAGGCGCCAGAAAATGCCAGAATGGAGAAGGTGGTGAGAAAGCCTTCCTTTGAGTCGTAGGAGTTATATTCAAGAAGTTTAAGTGGCCTGAGACGGTTTCGTACGTCTTCATTTGCCAGTAAGCAAAAGGAGACCAAAAGAGACCATGACTGAAACTTGGGTCCAAAGGCGCCAGAAAGTGCCAGAAGGGGAAAACGTGGTGAGAAAGCCTTCCTTTGAGTCCTAAGAGTGATATTCAAGGAGTTTTAGTAGCCTGAGACGGTTTCACACGTCTTCCTTTGCCGGTAAGCAAAAGAGGACCAAAAGAGACCAAAACTGGAACTTGGGTCTAAAGGCGCTAGGAAGTGCCAGAAGGGGAGAAGGTGGTGAGAAAGCCTTCGTTGGAGTTCTAGGAGTGATATTCAAGGAGTTTGAATGGCCTGGGACGAGTTTCTCACGTCTTCCTTTGCCGATAAGTATAAGAGACCAAAACTAGAACTTGGGTCCACAAGCGCGATAAAGTGCCAGAAGGGGAGAAGGTGGTGAGAAAGACTTCCTTTAAGTCCTTGGAGTGATATTCAAGGAGTTTCAGTGGCCTGAGACGAGTATAACACGTCTTCCTTTGCTGGTAAGTAAAAGAGAGCAAAACTAGAACTTGGGTCCAAAGGCGCGAGAAAGTTCCGGAAGGGGAGAAGGTGGTGAGAAAGCCTTCCTTTGAGTTCTTGGAGTGTTATTCATGGAGTGTTATTCATGGAGTTTCAGTGGCTTGAGACGAGTTTTGTACGTCTTCCTTTGCCGATAAGCAAAAGGGGACCAAAAGAGACCAAAATTGGAACTTAGGTCTAAAGGCGCGAGAAAGTGCCAGAAGAGGAGGAAGGTGAGAAAGCCTTCCTTTGAGTCCTTGGAGTGATATTGAAGGAGTTTCAGTGGCCTGAGTCGAGTTTCGCACATCTTTCTTTGCCGGTAAACAAAAGGGGACCAAAAGAGACCAAAACTAGAACTTAGGTCCAAAGGCGCTAGAAAGTGCCAGAGGGGAGAAGATGGTGAGAAAACCTTCCTTTGAGTCGTAGGAGTGATACTCAAGGAAGTTCAGTGGCCTGAGGCGAGTTTCGCACGTCTTCCTTTGCCAGTAAGCAAAAGGGGACAAAAAAAGACCAAAACAGGAACTTAGGTCCAAAGGCGGCAGAAAGTGCCAGAAGGGAGAAGGTGGTCAGAAAGCCTTCCTTTGAGTCGTAGGTGTTATATTCAAGGAGTTTCAGTGGCCTGAGACGGTTTCGCACGTATTCCTTTGCCGGTAAGTAAAAGAGACCAAAACTAGAACTTGGGTCCAAAGGCACGAGAAAGTGCCGGAAGGGGAGAAGGTGGTGAGTATAACCATGTCGCAATGGTATCAAACAAGCTAGATTTTGTCAAAAATTATGCAATACAAGAAGCAAACCTAGGTCATCTCTCAAGGACATAAAATGCATTTTATTTTTAATTCCATCATGCAATTTCAAATTAGATTGGGGGAGGATTTGTTTTGAATTTAAACGACAAAATAACAAAAACGAAAATTAAGGATTATGAAATTCAACCAATTCAAGATCTCAATCCCTACAATGCAATTCTCGTCGTTCACACAAATATAATCCCAACGAATTTCCAATCACACTAATTCAATGCGCATCAACAACCCTAAAATCTAAATCTAGATTATGAATTCCATCAAAACAAGAACCGCAATCGCAAACCCAATGCTTTAATAAAATTTAGAACAATTGATTGATTAAATTAGGTGAATCCAATTAATTCAAATCTGAAATTGACCTATTCTTTCTATTTAGGATGCAACAAAAATTCCTTATCATGAAAAACGTAATTAACCTAATTAGAAAAGAGGAAGGAAAGGAGGAATTCAATAAAACCTATTTTGAAACTCGAATGCAATGTAGTTTTTGAAACCTTGAACCGGTTGATGAATTAGCCTTGCTTCATAATCATGTTGGTCGACCAATTAGAGAAGGGGATGAAGTTTCCGAAAATAAAAGAGAGGGAGACGAGAGGAATCCTTACGAAAGCTTTTATTTAAAATTCTAAAAATTAAGGCAAAAAAAATAGGGAAGAAGATCCCCACGTGAAATCATAAACCCTATTCAAGGACAAAATAATTGGGCTTAATTAAGGCCCAGCTTCCTAACGAGGTTCCTAAAACCCTAATTAAGTAATGTCAATAATAAAACCAAATTCTGAAAAATTCATTGCAGGACCGCAACATTGTGACGCAGTTTTGGGCCTGAAGATGTTCGAACTGGGATTTTCTCGCAACAGAGAAGTTGTAGATCTCTCTCTTATCTTTCTAGGGACACCAATTTTGTCCATTTCCGAGTAGTGTAGCTCCAGATATGGTTTTTTCAAGAAACTGTGTCAAAACAAGAATTTATGGCGGGAATTAAGAAAGATTTAAATTTAAATCCTAAATGACTTACCAACACAAATCTAAACTAACACATCAAAATAATATACTAAAAAGACTCAATTAAATCGAAAACATAGAGAGAATGATGTATTAAAATATGACTATCAAATACCCCCACACTTAATCCTTTGCACTCCGGGGTAAAACTTACAAAAATTCTCAAAACTTTCTAATGAATTTCCAATGCCAAGAATAAAGAAAGAGAACAAACACTTCTAGAATCAAGGCAACAAACAATCTATGAGACACAAATGACATTAAGAGTAAGCAAGAAGACAAGTCAAAATAAAGAAAGATTCAACAATGATAGAACCTCACAAGGTAGTATATAGCTCTTAACTCTAAAAAAAATAAAAATTCGGCTAGTGTTTACACTCAATCACAACATGAAAAGTAGCACACTTAAGTTTTGACAAGCTTCTAATTTCCACAACTTGAAACACATGCAATTAAAGATCAAAAGGACTTTTATTTAGCTTGTAATGTGGCCAAGGTAAAGGTTAGGTGAGAAAGATATTAAGGCTAAACAACCAAAGAGAAAAGAGGAGCAATGGGGAATAAGTTCAAATAAGCAAAGGGATTACCCCTTGAAACATCTCCTAAATCCTATGTATTTTTTTTTTCTTAATACCAAACAACTCAACATCAATATCCACAATTTAGAATAAGCATTCCCTAGAAGTACCCCCACACTTATTAAAGACCCATTCCCAAAACAATTCCAAAGCTCCTTTAATCCCTAAGGTTATGGAACATCATGGTTATTTAATTTTATTTATTTATTTATTTTTATAGTTCATAATGAGCTAAAGTCAAGGAAGGGTTATAAAGGCTCAAAGGGGGTAAACAAGTGGAATTAATGCGAGGTAAGTCAATTTGGCAAAGTGGCTACATTTTGAAAGAAGGCCTAAATCATATCAATAATGCATGTGACAAGAAGCTTCAAAAAGATACAAGGCAAAACCAAAGGTAATCTAGCAACATGAGTGAAATCACACAAGAAAGAAGTAAAATATGCTCAAAATTCTCACAAGGTTCATATTCTATCATTAATGAATCAAACTCATCCTTTTTCAAGTAACTTGCTCAACTAAAAATGTAAAAATGACTCATATCAAGTATTGCAACCTATCAACTAAAAATGGTGTAACAACTTTCACAATTCCTACATCTAGAAATTAAAAGGAAAGAATGAAAATTTGTGTAACTACTCCAACAAAACATCATCAAAACAGAAAAGTAGAGGCACAAAAAACATGCAGAATTCGTACTCCAAAACAGCAGAAAAACAGAAAATAGAATTATAAACAGCAGCAGAAAAATGAAATCTGCAACAGAAAACAAAAACTGCAGAACAGAAAATGAAATCTGTAGAAATCAGCACAGCAAAAAAAATGAAAATAGAAAACAGCAAAACAGAAACAGCAGAAAATGAAAAATGAAAACAGAAACAGCAGAACAGAAAATGAAAACAAAAAACCAGAAAAATGAAAACAGAAAATAGCAACACAATATGCATGCAACTCCCCCCACACTAAAAATCACATTGCCCTCAATGCAGCAACACAACAAAGACAATTTCAAAGAATACAGAATGGGGAAAGAACTCCCTCAAGGTCCAAGGGTTGGTGCTTCCAAGGCTATGCTTTCTACATTTTTCTCCTCCAACTTTGGACTTTGATGAAATTCCTTGAGTTGATGTCCATTGACCTTGAAAATGCTACCGGTAACTTTATTCTTAATCTCAACTGCACCATGGGAAAACACATTAGTAATAACAAAAGGACCATCCCATCTAGATCTAAGTTTACCGGCTATAAGTTTTAGGCGGGAATTGAACAAAAGCACTTGTTCGCCCACTTTGAACTCCTTTCTCAAAATATTTCTATCATGAAAACGTTTGACTTTTTCTTTATAGATCTTCGAGCTCTCATAGGCCTCCAAGCAAAGCTCCTCAAGTTGTTGTAATTGAAGCTTCCTTTCCATACCTGCTTGTTCAAACTCTAAGTTACAATGTCTAACCGCCCAATATGCTCTATGCTCGATCTCAACGGGCAGATGACATGCTTTACCAAACACAATCCTGTAAGGGGACATCCCAATCGGTGTCCGGTAAGCCATCCTATGGGCCCAAAGAGCATCCTCCAAAAATTTGCTCCAATCCTTTCTATTGGGGTGGACTATCTTCTGCAAAATCTGCTTGATTTCCCTGTTAAAAACCTCAACCTGCCCATTAGTTTGGGGATGATAAGCTGTAGACACTCTATGCACAACCCCATACTTATGAAGCAAAGCCTGCATGCTCCTATTGCAGAAGTGGCTTCCCCTGTCACTGATAATGGCTTTAGGCACACCGAATCTGCAAAAAATGTTGGATCTAACAAAATCCACAACAACTTTAGAATCATTAGTTTTGGTGGCCTTAGCCTCCACCCATTTAGAAACATAATCAACAGCTAGTAAAATGAATGTGTAACCAAAAGATGCAGGGAATGGACCCATAAAATCAATACCCCAAACATCAAAAACCTCACAGAAAATGATCGGTTGCTGGGGCATCTCATGCCTGTGTGTAATGGTCGTCCCTGCTCTTTCACACTGCTCACAGGTGCTAGAGATCTGATGTGCATCTCTGAAAATGGTAGGCCAGTAAAACCCACTCTCCAACACCTTCCTAGCTGTCCTGTATGATCCATAATGTCCTCCCACAAGTTAACTATGACAAAACTGAAGCATAGAATGGATCTCGTGATCTGGAATGCACCTGCGGATTACCTGGTCACTGCAAAATCTCCACAAATAAGGGTCATCCCAAACATAATATTTAGCCTCACTTTTCAAGTTTGGCTATCTGTGCTCTAGATGCATCTGGAGGAAAGACACCTGCAACCAAGTAATTCACAATATCAGCAAACCAAGGAGTAATATCATGCAACTGCATCAACTGCTCCTCAGGAAAATCATCTCTAATAGGAAAGGGATCAACATTCCCTCCCTTAATCCTACTCAAGTGGTCTGCTACCAAGTTCTCTGCACCACTCCTATCTCTGATCTCAACATCAAACTCCTGAAGGAGAAGCATCCACCTGATCAATCTAGGTTTAGCATCGGGCTTCTTCAACAAGAATTTCAAAGCTGCATGGTCAGAAAACACAATAATCCTAGAGCCTAGCAAATATGAACGAAATTTATCTAAGGCAAATACAATAGCTAGAAGCTCTTTCTCAGTAGTGGTGTAATTAACTTGAGCTGCATCCAACGTGCGAGAAGCATAGGCTATAACATGAGAAAGTCTCCCAACCCACTGAGCTAAAACAGCTCCAAGTGCAAAGTTGGATGCGTCGCACATGAGCTCAAAAGGAAGCTCCCAATCAGGTGGCTGAACAATGGGTGTGGTGGTCAGCCGCCTCTTCAACTCCTGAAAAGCTAGCTGACAGGGCTCATAAAAAACAAACTCTACTTCCTTCTGCAGCAACTTGGACAATGGTAATGCAATCTTGCTGAAGTCCTGTATAAACCTCCTGTAAAAACCTGCATGTCCAAGAAAGGAACGCACTTCTCTCACAGAAGTGGGGTAAGGGAGAGAAGCAATGATATCAATTTTAGCCTTATCAACCTGAATACCTTGACTGGAGACTAAGTGACCCAAGACTATACCCTGTGTGACCAAAAAATGACACTTTTCAAAATTTAACACAAGGTTAGTTTGGATGCACCTATGTAACACCTTAGATAAATTCTCTAGGCATGCATCAAATGAAGAACCATAGACAGTAAAATCATCCATAAACACCTCCATGCAACTCTCCAAAAGGTCAGAAAATATACTAACCATACACCTCTGAAAGGTGCCCGGAGCGTTGCACAAGCCAAATGGCATCCTAGTGTAAGCAAATGTGCCAAATGGGCAGGTGAATGTGGTCTTGTGCTGGTCCTCCGGTGCAATATGAACCTGCATGTACCCAGAAAATCCATCTAAAAAGCAGTAATGGGATTTACCTGCCAGCCTTTCCAATACCTGATCGATGAATGGAAGAGGGAAATGATCCTTGCGAGTTGCCTAGTTAAGTCTCCTGTAATCTATGCAAACTCGCCAACTATTTTGAACTCTAGTTGGAACCAACTCATCATCCTGGTTCTTCACCACAGTCATCCCAGTCTTCTTTGGGACCACCTGCACAGGACTAACCCACTTACTGTCAGAAATAGGATAAATAATACCTGCTGCCAGTAGCTTTGTGACCTCCTTCTTCACAACATCTAGAATAGTAGGGTTGAGTCGCCTCTGTGGCTGTCTCACAGGTCGAAACTCATCCTCCAATAAAATTCGGTGCATACAAATGGCAGGACTAATTCCAGGAAGATCAGCAAGGGTCCAACCAATGGCCTTCCTATGATCTCTCAAGACCTGCAGTAATCTCTCCTCTTGATCAGATTTGAGATCCCGAGCTATAATGACAGGAAGTCGCTGGTTGTCCTCTAGGTAAGCATACTTCAGATGTGCAGGTAAAGGCTTAAGCTCTATTGATGGAGATGGAGCTAGATCAACTGCTGGTAGTGAATCATCTACTGGTGTAACCATATCTGCTGCACCTGCAACATCAACACTACAAACAGCACACACAGAAGAATCATCACAAGCACATGATGGGTCAGTAAGGTCTGAGGAATCAGCAAACAAATCATCTAAATTTGTACAATCATGAACAAGTAAATCAATAACATCCAAACTGAAAACAGAATGGTTTTCTGTTGGGTGTCTCATTGCCTCAAAAATGTTGAACTGCACCAAATTGTCACCAAACTCCATAGAAAGGGTCCCTGCATGCACATCTATCTTTGTTCGTGCCGTCCTCAAGAATGGTCTCCCAAGGATCAATGTAGCATGGCTGGGCAGGTCATCCTCCATCTCTAGAATATAAAAATCAGTAAGGAAAAGGAGGTCCTCAACTTTGACAAGAACATCTTCTACGACACCAAGTGGCTGCACAGTGCTCTTGTTTGCTAACTGGACTACAATTCCTGTAGGAATCAAATCTCCAATCTGCAAGGATCTAAAAACAGATGCAGGCATAACATTAATTGAAGCACCTAAATCCAGCATAGCATTTGTAAAAACTTCCTCTCCAATAGTGCAAGGGATGGTGAAAGTTCCTAGATCCTTGCACTTCTGTGGCAACTCAGGGAGCAAGTTTTGTGGAATGATTGCAGACACATTTTTATTCTGGAGGAGTGCAGAGCCATTTCTTCCCATGCTCACTCTCTCATTGCCCTTTAGCTTCCTCTTGTTGGTACACAATTCCTTTAGGAACTTTGCATATTTTGGAACTTGTCAGATGGCGTCAAGGAGGGGAATATTTACTTCTATTCTGCTGAACATGTCCAGCAACTCATTGTCCGACTCTGGTTTTTTTCTTGCTGCTGCTGGTCTGCTCGGGAAAGGCAACGGAACATGTTTTTCAGTGGCACTACTCTCATTTTCAGAATCTGGTGCTGCAGCTACAACTGCTGGTAACTCTTTTCCACTTCGCAGGGTAATAGCACTCACATTGCCCTTTGGATTCATGACTGTTTGAGAAGGCAAATTACTGGAGCCTTGAGACTGAATCTGACTCACTTGAGTGGCTAGCTGTCCAACCTGAATCTTCAAATCCTGGACGGTTGCTTGCATGTTCTGTTGAAACTGCAGGTTGTTTGCAGCAATCTGTTGCATCATCTCTTGGAATGATGGCTCGCTCCTTTGTGCAGGAGGAGGTGTTGAAGGTGGAGGTGGCTGTTGCCTGAATGGAGGTTGATATTTGCCTGCAGCAGGTTGAAATGAAGATTGTTGACCTTGTTGCTGCTGCCCCCATTTCAGGTTTGGATGATCTCTCCAGCCCGGGTTATATGTCTGGGAATACGGGTTATAATTCTGCTGTTAGTGTGGAGATCTATATTGCTGCTGTTGGTTGGTGTAGATTCCAGAAACATTCGCATCCGTCTCTTGCAGGGTAGGGCATGAATCTGTAGGATGCTTAGTGGAAGTACATATCCCACAGACTCTTGCTAGCTGCTCACTTACTGGATTCACTTGTTGTTGGCCAATTGCCAAATGCCTCACCATGGTGGTCAGCTCATTGATTTTGTTTTCCAGCCTTTGATTTTCCACACCATGAACAGCAGCAGTACCAGCACCAAGTGCTATCTCATTCACTCCCTTAGCGGCTCCTCTGAATCTGAATTGTTGAGTGTTGGCTGCCATGTTTGTAATAAGCTGTCTCGCAGCCTGTGGTGTCTTGTCCATCAATGCTCCTCCACTTGCTGCATCTATCATGCTCCTGTCCATCAAAGTTAGCCCTTCATAAAAATATTGAATTAGTAATTGCTCACTTATCTGATGGTGAGGGCAGGTAGCACACAGTTTGTTGAATCTCTCCCAGTAGTCATACAAGGTCTCTCCATTCAGCTGCCTTATAACACAAATCTCTTTTCTTATTGCAGCGGTTCTGGAGGCAAGGAAGAATTTCTCCAGAAATAACCTCTTCATTTGATTCCATGTGGTGATTGTTGAAGGTAGGAAGTAGAGCCAATCCTTCGCAACACCATCCAGGGAGAAGGGGAACGCCTTCATCTTGACATGGTCTTCAGGCACTCCTTGTGGTCTCATGGTGGAACACACCACATGGAACTCTTTTAAATGCTTGTGAGGATCTTCACCTGCAAGTCCATGAAACTTTGGCAACAAATGGATAAGTCCAGATTTAAGCTCATAAGAGGTTGTTTCATCTTCAGGATATTGGACACACCATGACTGATACACAACATTAGGTGTGGCCAATTCCTTCAAAGTTAGCTCAAGATTATCAGCCATGTTCTCCCTAACAACAGGAATAACAGTAATAGTTTCAGAATCACCAAGTAAGCTACCACTACCACTACCACTACCACTGTTTTTGCTAGATCTTATCCTCCGAAGTGTTCTTTCTATTTCAGGGTCAGGTTCATGCAATATAACAGGGTTGGCCCTGGTCATTCAAGGTTAGAACCAACAAGAACAGAAAATACTCAATGAATGCACAAATTCAGTTTACAGAACCCTAGGACAATTCCTATAAAAGGAGAATTGGTCTTGAACCTTAGGAGGCAGTTTTTGGAAACGAAAGACTCAGAGACGGAAGCAGGATAAGATCAAGCGTTTTAATTCATCTCTTTTGTAATTTTAATTTCAAGATGTTTAGGTTCTAACTTTCCTTTGAGTATCTAGATGTAATGAATCCTAATTGACTAAATTTTCTGGATTCTTCTAATGCTATTTCATGTTCCTTTCTCTTGGGTTTAATTGAGTAGTATCAATTTTCTTCTATCTTGTTTTCTTGTTTGAATTTGAGTAAAATTCTTGCATGAATTTAACATTGCTCAATTAAAAAGACTTGAATGTATTTCTAGAGATAGAAAGACGTGAGTTTTCTGTATTAGGATTAACCCTAATTATGGAATTCATAATGAACTTAATGCAACCCAGGGGTATTAATTAAGGAAGAGATTCCGATTAATCAACTGAGGGTTAAGAATTATTATCCTTGAGAAAAGTATTGATTTAATTTGGAATTTCCTGCAGCGATAAGGGTTTGGAACTAAGTAGTTGAAGAAGAATTTCAGTTATTTGGACACTTAGGGGGATTTACAGTCTAGATACTTGCCTTTTTACATTGAATACCTTTAGTCATAATTTTCTATAATTTATTTTCACTAGAATATTTGTTCCTTTTAATTTATTATTCTTTTACTTTTAGCAATTTCATCAACAAGGTTTATTTTTCATATTTATTAACAATTACGCAATTAAGGAAAAGTTTCTTAATAACAGTCCCTGTGGATACGACACTTGGTACTTTAATTTTAATTTTAAATATTACTTCGACAACGAGTACACTTGCCCAGTGATCAGATTTTTACACACCAAGTTTTTGGCGCCGTTGCCGGGGACTGTTTAATTAGGATTCCCTTTATTACGTATTTACTAATTTTATTTATTTCTTTAGTCTTGAATTAACTTATCTATTTTTCTTTCATTCTTTTTAGGAGCTGATTTTTCTGGTGTATGATCAGAACCCGTTCTACTGCACTATCTGAAGAACTATTTGAATTTGACCCAGAGATCGAAAGAACTTGGCAAAAAATTTGGAAAGAGAGGCGACTGCTAGTACAGAGGGAAAACACACAAACCCACATGGAAGGAATGGCAAACAACGAAGATCAACCAAGGACCATGTCCGATTATGCTCGTCCATCATTAACTGGGACAGAATCTAGCATTGTCCGTCCGGATGTGCAGGGAAATTTTGAAATAAAGCCCAATGTTATTCAGATGGTTCAGCAGTTTGTTCAATTTGATGGGTTGCAAGATGAAGACCCAAACGCTCACATCGCTAATTTTCTGGAGATCTGTGGTACTTTCAAGATTAATGGAGCTACTGATGATGCAATCCGCTTGAGGCTATTCCCATTTTCTCTCAGGAGTAGAGCAAAGCAATGGTTGAACTCTCTCCCGTGAGGATCTATCACTTCATGGGAGGTGATGAATTCATTTTTTATTATATTTTTACTTGCCTTTTTGGTGCTCCTTAATAGAAAAAAATGGACTTAGATTGTGCAAATAATATAGAAATCACATTTTGAGTAAATATCATAGGTTTATTAATTTTTGGTTAATTTGCATTTAATTACATAGATATAGATTGCAATTTTAATTATCTTGATGATTTTACAGAATGCCCAAGTTAAATTTGAGAAATCTTGGTCCTTGGATGAAAGTTGCCCCCAAAGTAGCCACTTTTGGGAGCAAAAGTGGCAACTACAGCAAGTCTGGGCATTAAAAGTTCCAAAGTAGCCACTTTCAAGACCAAAAGTGACAACTCCAGAAGTTCCAGGGATGCTAAATTGGAAGCATGATGCGCGTGGTTACTATGGGCTCTCAAAGTAACCACGCGCACCAAAGTAGCTACTATCAAGCCCAAAAGTGACAACTCCAGAAGCTCCAGGGACGCTAATTTTGAAGCCTTCCTGCGCGTGGTTACTATGGGCTCTCAAAGTAACCACGCGCACCAAAGTAGCTACTTTCAGCACAAATAGTGGCAACTCCAGAGAAGTGGCAATCCTCCCATCATGCGCGTAGACACTTTCAGGGCCCAAAGTGGACACTTTCAAAGGCAAAAGTGGACACTTTGGTGACATGTCATCCACTATAAATAGATTTTAGGAATTAGGGTACGGGATTTTTGACATTTTACACAATTTTCTTTGCCAAATTAGGATAATTTCTTACGACATTGGAGTCTTGGGTGACAGCCAAGGGTCCTCTATAGGTTTTAATTTCCAATTTCTCTTTTGATTTTTGTTGAATTTGCATTAATGATGTTTACGTTCTTGCATTTCTTTCTCTCTTTTGTGAAGCCCATCCACATGGAGGGCTAAACTTCCTTATAATTCCTAGTCAATGCACATGAATCTTGAATTCTTGGGATTAATTGCAATACAAATCTTTCTTTCCTTGAATTTATTAACCCCAATCTCTGAATGAAATGGAATTTGCATGAAGGGAACATTGCTTAATGAACCCTAATTTACCTAACGAAATTCTAATTCAAAATTGCTTAATTTTGGTTAATCCTTGAGGTTGCTTAATCTTAGGGATAGAGATTGGAGCCCATTAAGATGCTTAATTTTAATTGGGATGTTAAAGTTAGTCTTCGCTTGTTAGATTAACTTAATTTAAGGGAAAGAAAAGGGATTATTGAATCATTTGGAAGAACAATGATAGAACTCATTGCTTGACTAGGGATTACTCATTTTAATTGATTGAATTTCATTAAATTTACATTTCGTTCTTGATTAAAACCCGGAAATTGACAAACCTCCCCCCAATTTACTTGCTTTAAAATACATGTTTACACTTGTTCGATGTATGTTCTCAACCAAAAATTCCTTGGAGACGACCTAGGATAACACCCTAGTACTGCATTCATTTCTTTGCATATTTGATGAGGATTAACGACAATCTTTTGCATGACGAGTAGTAAAAATCGTTTCATCAAATTGGCGCCGTTGCCGGGGAGTTTTTGGTGCTTAACTTATGTTGAACATGCTTGGTGCTCTGTTTTTGTGTCTTACATATTAGTGTGTTTGTTTCATTTTGAGTTTTTGTATTGTGTTGATAGTCATACGAATTTTATGGTCTGTTTCTGCATTATCATTGCATGATTTTCTGCATCATTCACTTCATTTCTAGTGCCGCAATTTTTCAATTACTCACTTTCAATTTTCTGCACTCATTTTGCTGCATATTTCTCTGTTTTTCTGCACTTTATGCTGCATAATTCTGTAGAATTCTGTAGAGAGATTTTAAACTGTTCTTGTTATTTCATTTACTCAATTTGCTTTCAATTTAGTTAGTTGATATCTAGTGCATGACCCGATCAAACCCTGGAGATTTGTATCAATTAGACCAGGAGATTGATAGGACTTTTCATAGGAACATTAGGACACATAGGGATCACTCTGAACACTCTGAACCATCATCATCTCCTACTGCATCTTTGCAATTAGTGACACCAATTTCTGTTTACTCTTCTACATTTTCACTTGACTCTAGTTTTGGAGTAATGGCAAGTGATGAGAGGACTCTTAAGGAGCTAGCTGCACCGGATGTCACATACCAAACATTGTGCATCCAATATC